CACATGTACAGAAAAATTAAGATTGGCGAATCAGTGATGTGTACGTGGGAATTAGCGCCTGAGACAACAGATCACGTCCTCCAAGACTGTCCCAGGTGCAACCTATCGATTCAAAACTTTTGGCCAAGAGAAACACCGGTGCAAGCCAAACTTAACAGATAGCTGATTGAATTATAACAGACAGTGAAGTTCATACTAGAGACAGACTTGCAGATATAGATAATCTTCTTTCCAGCGAACGAAAGATAAGATTACACTCTTCATCATTTCCTTACACATATCTTCTGTCAGTCTCGCTGTATTTTTTTATGTTTAATTTCCACAGTTAGTTTATCGACAGTTAATCCTCATTGTCTATCGAACATTTCAGTCCATAAGTGCTCGGATTATCTCCTCAGTCAAATTGCACAGCGTACAGCGGATGACAGCACCAGTCCTGTGTTGTTTCTTGTTCTTTTTGGCTTCCTGTATATTGCTCTTGTTGGGCCACACCCCTTTAAAAATGCTGTTCTTGCATGGTTGCACAGTCATCGCCTGGTTCTCAGTTTTTTCATGACACCTTCTTTCCAGACCTTGTCAAATGCTTTCTTCAAATCTATCCATGCCACAGGCACTAGCTTCTTTTCTTGGAAGGCATCATCAATTTCTTGAGAGCGGTAAGTTGTCTGGTCCTCTGTGGAGTAGCACTGTCTAAAGCCTGCCTGTTGTGGCATGATGATGATTTCATTCCCACGTACCAGTGAAGTCTTAAAATGCGTTCTATTGTTTTGCAGAGACAGCTGGTATAACTGACTGGTCTGTAACTGGAGGCATTGTCCTTTCCTGGTTTTAGGAGAGTTATCATGATTGCTTCTCTTTATGTCTGTATTTTTTTATGTTTAATTTCCACAGTTAGTTTATCGACAGTTAATCCTCATTGTCTATCGAACATTTCAGTCCATAAGTGCTCGGATTATCTCCTCAGTCAAATTGCACAGCGTACAGCGGATGACAGCACCAGTCCTGTGTTGTTTCTTGTTCTTTTTGGCTTCCTGTATAGTGCTCTTGTTGGGCCACACCCCTTTAAAAATGCTGTTCTTGCATGGTTGCACAGTCATCGCCTGGTTCTCGCAAACGTCTTACTTTTGCAGCCATTTAATCTGATTCCTAATTAAATCTCTATACGATTTGATCCAAGCAGATGCATAGGAATGGGATGCGGGCCGCTCCTAGTGTCTCATTGAGGTGGATGGGGGAGAAAGGTATGTATGTGTGTGTGTGTGTGTGTGTGTGTGTGTGTGTGTGTGTGTGTGACAAAGTATATGTATTAAAAAAAGTGCATGTGGTTAAAAAGGGGAGGGGTGACGATGCCATGTATCAATACAATATGTTCTTCTAAAATCTGGCAATTTCGCAAGTGGATTGCGGGGTCTCATTTGGAGATAGTTCACTGAGTGTGTCGTAAAAACCAAATATTTAACGGTTTGCTGAAATCCTATGTGTTTAATCGAAAAGCGTGGATATTCTAGCCTGGTTGTAAACCGCGAAAGTCACAATTTTAGCAATGAATAGAGAAGACGTTTTTTTTTTTTTTAATATAAACACTTGGTGGGTGATGTTATCAACCGCATGCATTTACTTCACAGAACATCACCTGGTACCCATTTCAGGCTGGGTCGACCTGCAAGCCAAGGTCAATTTTGAAGGAAAAAAAATCGGTTTTGAATCCTAGATCTTCGGGCCGGCAAGCAGATTCCAGGAGTAGCAGTAGTGGTGGGAGCAGCAGTGGTAGCTGTAGTTATTGTAACAGCTTCACCAGTAGTATTAGTAGTAGTAGCAGCAGCAGCAACAACAACAACAGTAGCGGCAGCAGTAGTAGCAGTAGTGGTTACATCAGTAGAGTAGTAAGCAGCAGCTGTAGGAGAATAAAATAAAAAATTAGGCAAAGTTGAGAACCGCTGTATGTTACTTTGATAGTAGAGTAGCTCTCCTTTGTTATTGTTCGCTTCAAATGTCGTTAGGGACCAGGTCGGTAGACTGTATAGTACTATAGTCTGTCTTGCTTTATCTTCTTTGTTTATTTTATGTCAGAAGCACCCTCAAAGTCCCATCATCTGTTGTTGAGTTCACCACAAGAGTGTTTCGATGTTATCACGCAAGTCATCTTGATTATGACATCAAGTCGTTGATAAGAAGATAAGTTGGCTCAGCCACTCACGTGATGCCTGTGGCAGACGTGAAGCCCTTACACTTGTAGACATGAACATTGAACTCTTGTGATGATCTCTTGGCTGTCGTACAAAATCGGAAGTCTCACGTCTTGCCTAGCCAGTTGTTAAATAGACACTTCTCCTGCTTGTTGTACACAAAGTCAGTCACACGCAGTCACGAATATTTAATTCAGTTTAACCGTCTAATGATCAGGTAGACTTGTACTTATGTCTATGTCAATATAATCAGTATTGACAGTATTAGTACTATTAGTTAGTCGGTACTGTCAGTTGTTAGTTAATTAGTTGTCTAGTAGTGGTAGCCTCCTGTTAAAATCATGGCTATAATTAGTATAATTAGGATATGGTGTCAACTATATGTTCTTTTGAGCAATGTTATATGTAATATAATCATAATATTCACACATTTATGTACGTTTATGATTTTTTTCAAATACTCTGCCTCATGCCTTCTGGGCTATAATTAGGACGGATATAATTAGTTCCTGTATGAGATTTGCGGTTCTATTGATTTGTAGGAGAGAATATATCAACCCATTGTTTCTTAACTTTGTTGTCAATTGTGACTAACAGTTTTATGAAATCAGATGTTTTGAGCCAGGAATCACAGATATGTCAGCCTAACTGTAAACTACACAACAGCTTGCCAAATTCTCCTTGTGGTTCCTAATCTCTGACTTTGAAGGAAACCCCTCCAACTAGATGACTTCTACAACATGCTTGTTAGGAAGGCAGTGGGTCTTTTATACTCCCCCTTTCCCAATGTGCAATGTGACGCTGGAACACACAGGGGGAGTTTTAGTATTATGTTGCCTTATGGTTTTAAATAGCTCATTTATTTTTAGTTGAGTCAAGAATTGACATCACAGCACTCAGGGCATTCCCATGCATGCTCCATCCTTATCTTCAGCAGCCAGCGCCGAGTTCCATTACTGATGGTACTGGTCACAGTCTAGTTATATGTTCGTCTTGCCTTTCCTATAAATGCAGTGAGCCGGCCAGACCCTCTGGTTACACACCCAGGTGCCTCATCCTCTCTAAGGCATAATAATCTGGTTTCTCTACTGACTCCTTTGCTTGTTCCTAAAGGGCTTTGACCGCATCTGCCTTGTCATGTATTAGTTTTAATTTACATTTATTCTTAGTGAGTGGTGGTAGCAGCAGCAGCCGATTTATTTTGTACTAAGTAGCAACAGTATTTATATATCATGTTCAACCCTTTTGTGTTATAACTGGGATAAATAGAGCATTCTGTTTTCTTTTTAAGCTGGTGGGTTTTTAAAATTTTATTTTGGCTATCCTCTGAATCTATCTATCTATCTATTGTCTTCTTCACTTTTACCGGGTTGCAGCCCAGTGTCGTGGTTTAAAATATTTGTTTTGTGCCTCTCGCGTGATTTGAGTGACAGTTTTCTAGATCTTCTGGCCGTATTCAGCGACTCCATCTATCCATTTTTTCCTGGGTCTTCCTCTGGCCTTTCTTCCCGATGTTCTACTGTAAAAAGCCTTATAGGCAATCTGATCCGGTTGCATTCTTACTAAATGGCCAAACCACTTCATTCTCTGTCTTTCAATATGTTCCATGCATGCTCTTGTTCCAACTTTGTCTCTAATGCTGACGTTTGTGACTCTGTCTCTTCGTGTATTGTTGGTGACTCTTCGGAGACATCACATTTCACACGTAGTTATTTTTTGCATATGTGATTTGTTCATTGTTCACGTTTGGCACTGATAACATAACGTAGGGATGAAAATGCTGTTGATCATCCGTTGTTTGGCTGGTAACGAGATCTTTGGATGACGAAGAAGTGGGGCCAGTTGGTAGTTGACTGTATTGGCTTTTTGAACTCTAGCCTGTATCTCTTTATCGAGTCTTCCATCTTCTGTAAATATGCATGCTAAGTACTTGAATTCTTGAACTTGTTCTAATTGTATGTCATTGATCTTTATGTTTACATTACTGTGTTTCTTTCCTATGGTCATTACTTCAGTTTTTGAGGTGTTTATTTTCATGTCAAATTTTGTACAGTTAGTGAGCAATGAATCAACATGTTGTTTTAGTTTTTGTTCTTCTTCTTGTAATAAACATTGGTCATCTGCAAAGAGTAGTTCATTTATAATATCTGTATCCTCTGAATAACGGTCCCAAATTATCAAGGCCGAAAATATAGCCTAACAGGGCCTCAGTCACATGTCAATTGCAGACTTCTGGCGACTTAAATTGCGCACTGTGTGAGTCCCAGCAATCTAGTTTAGCCCCAATCCACGCTGTGGCGTGGGAGATACTCTCGGCGGTGGTGGTATAGTCCCCGGAAGTCCGCAATTGACACGTGACTGAGGCCCTGTTCGGGTATATTTTTGGCCTTGATAATTTAGGACCGTTATTTGGAGGATAGTCTTTATTTTGTATATTTCCTTTTTGATATACTGCAATAAGTAAGCCTGTGTCACTGGTCAATATTAAAGATAAAAAAGCCATATATAATTGCAAGGATAGATCAAACTGCTTTCTTCCGAATAACGGCCCCAAATTATTGAGGCTGAAAATATACCCTAACAGGGCCTCAGTCACGTGTCAATTGCGGACTTCCGCCACTGCTGATAGTATCTCCCACGCCGCTACGGGCGGCGTGGATTGGGGCTAAACTATAACAGTTGACACCTATAGGAATATGTTTGTAACATTTATTTATGCTAATTTATAAAGAATCACTCTGTATGTTAATTTAAGACAATTAAGTGAATGTAGCCTAATTAATTTCTGAGTATATTTCTCCCAGGTGCCTAGATATGAAAATACTGTGTCTGCTTGTCCTTGTGGGCTGGGTGAGGGAAGGTTTTGCTGCACCAAAGGAAGATTTGATCACCAACCTACCAGGTTTGTCATGGAAACCAAACTTCAGACAGTACTCTGGCTATCTGCAGGCATCAGGCAGCAAAAAACTTCACTATTGGTAAGTCTGTGTCAGTCTGTTACAAGATGTGAATTACTTTGTCTTTAAACCTAGCTGTACACTCCTTGAGACAGCTGTTTGTTCATCTCTTGGTGTTATTCTGCCACCTCTACCACAGTATGCCTCTTGCTCACATGCCTTAAATTTTCCCTGATTATTAAGAGTTTTAGGACTTTGTATGTATTTTATTCTTCTTCTTCAGCATTCTAAGCCATTGAGGTTCATTTCTGCAGATATCACCCATCTGCATTCATCTCTCTGGTTGGCCTTCTCTTTCCAGTTGGTGACACCAAGTGTTTGCAGTTCTGTCTGGATATTATCTCTCCATAATTTTCTTTATCTGCCTCCTGGTCTACGACCATTCAGCTCCCTTGTGCATAAAGTTTTTACCTCTCTGTCATCTGACATTCTCTCAATATGCCACAGCCATTTCAGTCTTTTAGCCATCACGATGCTAGTGATCATTGGTGATTAAAGCAGATCATGAATTTCGTTGTTGCTTCTCACTCCATTGCCTGATGTTTGCATCTTTGATGGGTCCAAAGATTCGTCATAAGAATGTTTTTCTAAAATGTGAAATAAGGCTTCATCTTTTAGTTGTGCTCCAAGTTTATATGTTATTTTACCTGTCTTATTTTTTTCAGAAACTTACTGTTCCATTCCAGGTCTTTTTACAATGTCTCCTTTATTTGGTAATATTAATAACATGTTTTACATCAGAACTCTAGATAACATGTTTTACATCAGAACTTTAGATAACATGCTTTACATCAGAACTTTAGATAACATGTTTTACAACAGAACTTTCGACAACATGCTTACAACAGAACTTTCGACAACATGCTTACAACAGAACTTTAAATAACATGTTTTACATCAGAACTTTAGATAACATGCTTTACATCAGAAGTTTAGATAACATGTTTTACATTAGAGCTTTGGATAACATGTTTTACATCAGCATTTTAGGTAACATGTTTTTCATTAGAACTTTAGATAACATGTTTTGCAACAGATACTGGAGCTAGGTTTTAAAGGGGGGATAGTAATGCAACTGTGGATAAGCCATTGGGCTGTGAAGTGTGATAGGCCATAAGGATATGAAATGTGATAAGCCACTTAAGATGTGGTGTGATAAGTATAGGAAGTGCTTGGACTTCACATATTCTAAGCTGTGTATAATAAATGTGCTGGACCAGTTACTTTCTCACCATGCTCTGGTATGAGTGTTACTTGCATGACTTGGTTTAACTCTTTTTTCCACCCTGTGTGGGTTCTGGTGCCCCATTTTAGAGACAGAAAGAATAAACCCACTGCCCGTGTCGTAGAAGTAGACTAATTAAAGATTTCCTTTGAAGTCAGAGTCCATCTGCCTGAGAGGCAAGGAACCAACAATCTGCATACAAATAAGCAGATCTGTAATACAGAAAAATACCAAATTCTAGAAGTGGATGAACAACCGGAACTTTCTGACAGAGTTTACAGCTGTTGAAGGAAGAACTCTTTTCCTTTGTCAGTGTTACTTGGGTAATTTGCATAATGAAAGAACTGTATCAGAAATGGTTGACAGCACTTGAGACAGAAGGCTGTGTACAGATATTATTACCAACACAGTCCTAGAAAAATCTTGATGCTTGCACTCACAAAGTAAAATGCCAGAAGGCAGCTGTCAGGTGTGCCAACACAGCAGAAATGTAGCTCACTGTTGGCACACATGGTAGACCACGAAAAAATACATATCTTTCTGAATGGGCCATTTTATGAGTCAACAACATGTGGGCATAATAGAAAAAAATTTCTAATTAAATGCACAGATAACAGTGCCTCGCCAATCACTCAGTTCAGTAACTAAGTGACAGAACCTTTGTACTCTGGTCCAGAAATTGGGAATTTGCATCAGCAAAACCCACCTGGAAACAGTTTTGTAGAGCGTCAGCAGTGTAACTATCAAACTGTGTAACCCTTGATAGACTTCTTTTTAATCAGACCTGGAATTTGTAGGCAAATATGAATGATTCTTTAATGTTCACCGTAAGCCTACATAGCAACATAAAATCCTAAATTATTTATTAGCAATTATAAAAGAATTCTGAAAATTTTAAGAGAATTCTGAAAATTATCCTGTATTACAAAGCTAGGTCAATCCATTCTGGTTGCACACACAAAATCCAGCGTATATAGAGGAATTACAATAACTAATCAGATACTACAAACATCAGTTAACAAGAATAGAAAGAATTACACAGAACTGAGAGAATTGAATGGTGTGTCAGATTTACTTTGGGAGAGAATTAAACAAATTCCAGTAAATCAAGAAGTAATGGACATATGCTCCCTTTGGATGGGACTCACATTATGAAAACCTGGTAACAGTATAACTAGAATGTCCTGGCACCAAAACCCACAGGGTCAAAGGAATAAATAGAGGGGGAAAAAATCACACAGTGAAGAGAACTAGATAGTGGAACGATAAAGATGGGAGGGGGGGATTGGGGTGAGCTGCTTGCAGTAGTAAAGGATATAAAGATTTGGCCTGAGTAATACAATCTAGTATCCAAGAAAGGTGGCTGGATACCCACACCAGATTTTCTCCCCAAGACTCACTTCATCGCCTCTCTAGAGAGGGACAGTGCATTATATTCAGACTAAGGACTAGGCACAACAGATTTCGTCAATATATGTTAAAAATTTTCGTTGTAGGAAATACTTAGACATGTCCCTGCATCGTAGCACCCGAAAATGCTGAGCATGTGCTTCCAACACTGTCAACTGTATGCTGACAACAGAGACGCAACCTGGCCTGTTTCAACCACACTGAAGACAAAACTGTATGGTACACGAGAGGATATGGATTGCACGATAGCTTTCATAAAGGCTACCGGCCTCCTGATATAAGTTTTCTGACAGAAGGATCGAAGAAGAAGAAGGATTAAAACTGAACCATTATGGTGGTAAACATAGTTTCTTGTTCCTGTGAGAATCGCCTGGGTCTCTACTTCAAAGGGTAGAAGAATGCTTGTCTGTGGTTAGTCACTGCTTGAATTGTCACACTACTTGCAGGTTTGTGGAGTCATCCAGTAGGCCACCAACAGATCCAGTGGTAGTGTGGATGAATGGTGGACCAGGATGTAGCTCGTTAGATGGGTTCTTGACTGAGCACGGCCCGTTTAGGGTGAGTACTTAGTATTTATGATAATCTGAGGTCAGAATAAAACTGGAAATACAAAAATGAAAATATGGACAGGAAAAACTACTTAAGATCAGACCAGTTGCCTCTATTTGGAAAATCACTTCTTTCATAGTTTTGGCATTCTGCACCCTGAATACTTTCATCTATTTTTTATAATTAATTTGTAATAATCTGAATTTTCTAAATCATCTGGCCCTCAGATAATGAGACTGATTTAATTAGGGCCAAGACAATAGTCATCAACATTCATGAAGAAAGGATACCATCCAGGCAGGCAATATTTATCTGTAATCTAGCAAAATTGCAACACCAGCCTGTCAGCAGATAAGTAACCCACCAGTTTGTTTTCTAGTTAGAGCTCCGTGGTTACACATGCAGCAAAGAGTCAACATTAAATTATGTTGTAAACTTAGAGAAAAGGTACTTTTGAGACATCTGATCTAATGGGACAAGTTTATTTGGACTAAAGTTCATCTCATGCAAAGATATTTAGGTGGTTTTCAGCATTGAAAACTGGCGTGAAATTATTCAAGATGAAACTTGGCCAGGACATCCAGTTTGTGTTCATGTTTTTAAAAGCAAGAGAACAGCTACACAAATATCAGTATTTGACTTTGAGGTTGATAGCAAATTAATTTGATGCCAGCCAAGAGTAGAGTTGAGTTGAGTCAAGAACCAACATCACAGCACTCAGGGTATTTCCATAAGCACTTCATCCCCATCTTCAGCAGCCAGTGAAGAGCTCTGATACAAATGGTGCCAGTAGCATTCTGATTAAACATCCGTCTTGCCTTTCCTCTGACCCTCGAGCATCTGCCAGAACTTCGTCACTTCCCGCTACAACAATCTCACCAGACTGTGGTGATCCATCTGCTCCTCTGAACCACACAATATGTGATTTTTTTCTTGCCCATATCTTCCGCTTAAATTTTGTGATCATTGCAGATTTTGGCGTCAGTTATACTAGGAGCCCATGTCTTAAACAGTCCTCATCCCAGAGGAGATTTGAACACAGGACCATCGTGCCAGCAACCAAGTGTGCTAGCCACTGTGCCATTACAGCTTCCTGATTCTTAAAATGAAGAGCTAAAATAAGTTGTATATTTTTTTAGGGAGACTACGACACCAAAGGGAGTTCAAATCTGAATAGAAACATATTGTTTTGTAATGACCCTGGCTCCCAGGTAGAACCAGCCTTAAATGGGTACCAGGTGTTGACCACATCACATGCCGAGTGCTGATTGGTCTATGAGGTATAGGTCTCACACTATATGCGCAATACACTGAAAGTTGTCAAAAAAAAGGTCCTTTGACAACAAGAAGGAAAAACATGTATCTCAGGCATCAACAGACACAATGTTTTAGCATCATTGAAAGAAAAATACTGAAAATGTCACACAGAATGGTGCAGTTATGGCAAAGAAAGATAAAAAAGACAGCAAGAGAACATATCACTTCAATATGTTCTGGCAAGACATCAAAACATATTTAAAGTTTCCAAGAACCAGATGAATTTTTTAATGTTTAGATTCACATGTCTCCAGGACATACAATTTTGATTGCTAGGTCACTGTTTTTTAGATTATTAATGTAATTATATTATTATTTTGTTTTTATGTGCTAATGAAAGCTTTGTAGCCAGTGTCCAGTTTTTCACTTGATTGTTCTTGTAAATCTGACCAATTCCCTTGTCCCCATGTGGGATGCAATTTTTTATTTGAAGTCCACCCTGGCTTCTGCCGGGCGCCATTAATGTAGCCGGGGCATAGATATGGCCTAGCCATAGATATGGCCTAACGGCTGAAAGGGGTTTCTGAGACCTCTCCACGGGTGATCCTCATCCTCATGGTGGCACTTGTTAATCGCTTGTGTGATGTCCTGTTGGGTACAACTACCTACCTACCTAGCCTTGTCTATTCTGGTGACCATAATGTCTTGAGCAGAAAACGTGACGTCCCACTAATATTTTGAGCTGAAAACAGGACATACAAAGCAAGTCAGTTATATATCCTCCTCCTCCCCCCCCCCCCCCCCCCCCCCCCCCCCCCCCCCCCCCCGCGCACCTTTTTTAGTTGCCGTGATGAACGGGTTAGTCAACCACTTGACAAGCTTGACAATGGTATTAAAGCTGAATCATACATGCCAATAAATAAACAAAACAATATGCTCATTAACTGCACTGAGAAAAAAAAACATACTACAATGAAAATTCTCATTAACATATTTCAGGCAATACACGTATGTAATATTTTTTCATCTTATAAGGTCTACAAATATAACTATAAGTGTGTTCTTTTCTCGAGCTTATTCCTACATCTTTTATTAAACTGGACAATTGGCGCTTTTTGGGTCGTTCTTGTTAAATGTTGCTAATTATCCTTTCTGTTCTTGTTAAATGTGACTGTTATATATGTTGGGCACATTCTGAGAAGAAGCAGGCAGAGAATCATCAAACGGATACTGAGATGGGTTGAGGCCTCAGATGGGTTGAGGCATCAGATGGGTTGAGGCATCAGATGGGTTGAGGCATCAGATGGGTTGAGGCATCAGATGGGTTGAGGCATCAGATGGGTTGAGGCATCAGATGGCGTTGAGGCATCAGATGGGTTGAGGCCTCAGATGGGTTGAGGCATCAGATGGGTTGAGGCATCAGATGGGTTGAGGCATCAGATGGGTTGAGGCATCAGATGGGTTGAGGCATTAGATGGCGTTGAGGAAACAGTATCCGAGTGAAACCCAGAAATGAACATTGCTGAGAGAGGCCAAAGGCACTAGACTGGATGTCTCCATGATATTGAAATGGTTGCACAGGATAGAATGAAATGGGCTAGACTGTGTGATGTATAACTTCATGACATGGTGATAATAATGTTGATAATAAATATAACTAATTTCCCCTTCTGTTTTTGTTAAACCTGGCAAATTTCCCTTTCTTTTTGTGTGTGTGTGTTATACGTGACCAATTCCCCTTTCTGTTCTCGTTAAACCTAACCAAAATTTGTCTTCCTATTTATCTTAAACTGGACCGATTCTCCTTTCTGTTCTTGTTAAATGTGACCAATTCTCCTTTCTGTTCCTGGTTAACCTGACCAATTCACCTTTATGTTCTTGTTAAATGGGACCAATTCTCCTTTCTGTTCCTGGTTAACCTGACTGATTCTATTTTCTGCTTTGCTAAATGTGACTATGTCTCCATTCTGTTCCTGGTAAACCTGACTGATTCTCCTTTCTGTCCCTGGTAAACCTGAATGATTCTCCTTTCTGTTCCTGGTAAACCTGACTGATTCTCTTTTCTGTTCCTGTTAAACCTGGCTGATTCACCTTTATTTTCTTGTTGACCCATTGAGAACGAGACCTGTTGAGAGGTATTGTTCTCCGTGCCAGTTGCCATGACACATGATGATAATGAATTTACACAGGGGGAGCATTTTGTATGTTAGTGTGTGATATCTTTCTGCCACACAAGAGACAACACCCGCTGAAGACCTCAAACATAAGGATACTGATTACCTCTCTGACTTGGGTGTAAAACTCAGATACACAGATCGGAGCAACACGACATGAAAACCATGCAAGCCCTCAGAGCAATACAGAGCAGAAGTCATAAGTGCAAACACACTAAGAAACATTCTTAGGAGAAGATTGGAGCACTTATGGCTAAGCCTGACCTGCAGTGAATATGATCCTGAAATAAACAATACTTTCCTTCAATTATGAATGAGTGCAGTAAGTCTTAGTTGCAGTGACAGCTCCAGCTGTGTTCCTGATATAAATCATGGTTGAACAAATGTATCTTTGGCTTCTCAAAGTGTTGAAATGTTCTTGCCATCAACAGGTTAAAGGTGAAGGTAATTAAACAAATGTATCTTTGACTTCTCAAAGTGTTGAAATCTTCTGCCTTTAACAGGTTAAAGATTAAGGTAATTAAGCACATATATCTTTGACTTCTCAAAGTGTTGAAATCTTCTGCCTTTAACAGGTTAAAGATTAAGGTAATTAAGCAAATATTTCTTTGACTTCTCAGTGTTGAAATCTTCTGCCTTTAACAGGTTAAAGATGATGGTAACACTTTGGAACCCAACCCTTACTCTTGGAATCAGGTAAGAGTTTCTTTCTTCCTTCCTTCATTTCTTTCATTTTTCCCCATCTGTTTCTTTTCTATATTTTCTTTCTTTCTTTCTGTCATTGTCCAAGTCTAACATTGGTGGCAGGTATAATAATGTTTACAATAATAATTGTTCAGGATCAAAGCATGTCTTGTTTATTTTATAGAGCTGCTAACATTTGTCTGGTGACTTAGTTTATGTTAATACTTTACTCTTCTACAAACGTTCTTCTTTTGGAATATCACATCACCCTCTCCCCTTTTTCCCCCTCTTTTTTGTGTAAATATTTACTACTATGTTTGTGAAAAGTATGCTTTTGCTGGTTTCACCTGTCTCTTATTGACAGCTTCTTGACTTTCTTGTCTTTATGTTCTGCTCTTGACTATTTTTATTTGTTTGAGAGAGAGAAAAACTGACATATTTTTAACATAATTCTTCTTTCTTACATGTCTCTAATATTTCCTATTTCTGTGCCACAGAGCAGTGGAAAACGTGTTAATTATGATGTACATCTTAGCCGATGCCTGTTGCTTCAGGCTTATATACACAGTTTCATAATTCCAACAGCCTGGGTTTGATTCAATTCGAGATCTTCTTTTTGGCTTTCACCAGCAGTAAACTCAGGTGGAAAGTTCTGATAGTTTGTCCACTATTCTGGAGTTTGGTCTTGTTCCACATCTTGAGTTTTGTGTGTACATTTATTTTATCTGATCTGTCTTAGTATGCAGCTGCTAGTTCCTCACCTATCAGGAAGATGCACTCTGACTCTGAAAGAGACACCCATAAGTAGTTGCTGCTATGACATGCTTGTTTTGGGGAAGGTGAGCGGGAGAGGGTCTATTCCAATACTGATGGTACCGGTCACAATCTGGGTCTATGTCTGTCTTGCCTTTCCTCTGAGTGTAGTGAGCCGGCCAGACCTTCTGGTTACATCCAGGTCCCTCATTCTCTCCAGAAAGCTTCTTCCAGATTACATACACAATATATACTGAGTAAAATAGGGGCATTTAAGCTCAAATGCTATAGAAATATTTTCAGAATATCGTGGACAAAAAAAAAGGGGTGGAGGGATACTGGCATTTTAAAAGATCTGAACATCAAGCAAGATTGGCTGATAACAGGTGGCTAATAAACAGCAACTTGTCTCAGAAGCTGAAATATTTGAGCCATATCAAGCGCCATGGTGGATTAGAAAAAATAATAGCAGAAAGCATGGTACCAGGAAGGTGGAGCAGGGGCCGACCAACACAAAGATGCGCTCAGAAAAAAGTGACTCCTTGAATGTGAAAGTACAGGAGGTGGGAGAGCTGGCAAGAGACCACATTTCTTTCAGACAGACCGTGGTGAGAGTGATGTTCTGCAAAGGACCTGCTACATGATGATCATGATATACTGAGTGTTTAAGAAGGAAATTTTTTAAAATTATTATGTATATCTTACCTTTTCTGTCCAAGGAGTTGTTAACTTTTAATCCTATCCTAATGTGTTGAGCTTAAGCATATCACCCAGAAAAGGCTAAGTCTAGTCACTACCAGTTGTGACAGTCCTGTAAATGCATATATATTGCCATTTCTATAGTTACTTGTTCTCAGAAAGTGTAGTTAGATGCCATTAGTTCTGTTTGCACCTTCACAGTGTTTGGGTGGCCTGGATATGAATATTTTAACTAAATATAGCAATTACAGGGGTTTCCTTAATCCAGTACCTTTTCAAAACTAAATTGACTTATCAGTTTTACCATAAACATCAGTAATGGCGGTTACAGGGTCACAGCTTTAGTCACCCAATTTTTTGGCTCTATGGAATGTATTCCATTTAATTCTTCACCCGGTTTCTGTTTATTGATTACTTTATTAAATTTTTCAAAGAAAAAAAGATTCATATTAGTAAAATTAAAAATTTTTTTTTTTTTTTTTTTGTTACCTGTTTTTAAAAGACTTTTTCAGAAACTCCCACAGGTTTATAACCCTTTGTTTTAGATATTTGTGGTTCAAAATTGTGCACAGTAATAAACACTAACATATGAAGTTCAGCAGATACTCTATAGGATAGACATATTTCAACTAAAATAATCCAGATTCAGAGGATAGCAAGATCATTTTTTCATTGGAATAACCATGAAATTTATGGTTAGTTGTTTGATACCAGAAAAGTTAATGATTGAAAACTGACTTCCAGATCACAAACATGATTTATCTGGAGGCCCCAGCTGGAGTTGGGTTTTCTTACTCTGATGATAGGAACTACACCACAGATGATGATGATGTAAGTCACATGTTTGTGCAGTTTGCTTTTAGCTGGACACATTTGCATGCAACTGACTTATTTGTTTTAATGGTTCACAGTTACAACTTATGTGGTGCTCAGCCAGTGGTTTTCAGATAATGCCACAGGCCCTCCATTAAGGCTGTGGAGCAGAGCATGTCCTGCAGTAATCCACACAGCTTGATTTCCAACGGAATGCTACTTGGCCAGCCTGGATCTCCTATACTGCATGGAGAGATCTGTATCTACAGCCTGTGTTCAGTATTCCGCTGTGCCAGTCGACATGGACAAAGTTCTGAGACCCCAATCAGGAATATCCTGTAATAGAAAAAAAAAATGAAATGAAAGATATTAAATCTCAAAGCTAACTGACTACCCACATCAAAAGACATTGGGCACAACATGGCTAGTTGGGAAACTGGCAGGCATCTTGATAATAGGAAAATTGGTAGGAAGAGAGACAAAGAGGTGGAATGTTGCAGTTTTATCATGGAAGAACATCTGTAACAGAAATGAATGTCAGTACACCAGATGGAAGGCTGTAGACAGATATGATGACCAATACCATATGGCAGGGAATATAAGTTGCAGGAAGTGCTACCTATAATAATTGTATAATTCTTCTTCTTCTTCTTTCGTTCGCCTGAAAAAAGTTATCTATATCAGCAGTTTTGTCTCTTGTATAAATTTCACTGTCGTTGTTAGTTCATTCAGTGGTCCATAGAGTTTACGTTCCACTGTTGTTCTTTCTGGCCAAAAGGTTTGCCTTAATGTGTCAAAATCGGTGCAGTCCTGGAGTACATGCTCTGCGGTCTGGGGCACATTTCCACAGGTGCACATGGCTGATACACCTATCTTGAATTTTGTGTACATGTGGTTACGTAATCGGTTGTGCCCTGTTCTGAGGCGGAGGATAATGACTTGTTCTGGTCTGTCCATTATAAAATAGTCGTCCTGTGCTGGGGCTGGTGGTTTCCTGATCGATTTAATGATTCTTTTCTTTTAGTGGTATGTGACTGGTACATCTGGCTGCTCTTTTGTCACACCTTCCCTTGCCAGTTGATCAGCTTTCTCATTTCCAGGCACTCCACAATGAGACGGTATCCACTGCATTACGACTCTTCGCTGAACGCTGAGTTGTGTCAGCAGTGTTTGCAATTCTGGTAGTTTCCTAGACTGGAGTGCTTCAAGTACTGATTTAGCATCTGTAAGCATTACCACATACTGTGAGCCAAGGTTGGTATTTAGCAGTTTCTCTGTAGCTATCTTGATAGCCTGGGTTTCTGCATCGTAGTTATGGCAGTACTTCCCGGTTGGTATGCTGGACTTATCCCTAGTACCATCTGGGAATTCGATGTACACTCCAGCACCACCATTTCTAACTGCACTTTCTGCGGACCCATCTGTATAGACTCTGACCCATTGTTCTTGTGGGTATTCTTCATCAATATAACTGAGGGTGGCCATTTTGCGTTGTACACTATCTTGCTCTTTCTTGTCAAATATCCCTTTCACATTTGTCTGGATTTGTACCATTAGTTTACATTTTTCTCTCCATGGGGTTTGTTCCGGAATACTTTTAAGTGGGCAGCCAATTTCTGGAAGGTCAGGAGTTTGTCTACATATTCTTTTTGCTTGGTGTATAAAGCTGCTTCTTTTTAACTGTCCCAAGGCTAGGTTCTTAAATCTATTTTCCATTGGGTGATCTGGCATACAGAGGAACTTTTCAGCTTGTATTTGCAACTTTGTATCTCTGCGTTCTCTCAGTGCCTGTGTTTTCCCAGCTTTCTCCATTTCTAATATGGGGGTTGATTTCATCCCTCCTGTGATGACTCTGAGCGCTTGATTTTGCACTTTGTCTAACTCCTTTAATGTGGTACTAGATGCTGAACACCATGCAGTTGACCCATATTCAAAGTGTGGAAGTATGCTCTGCTTGTACACTTTATTGAGTATTTTCCCACTGGCTCCCCATGTGGTTCCACTTAGTTTTCTTAGTATTGCTGTCTTCCTCCTGGCTTTGGTTGCTGTCTTGTTGATATGTTTTCTCCATGTCAACCTGTCATCAAATGTGAATCCTAGGTATGTGGGCTCTTTATCATCTCTCAGGGGTATTTCGTTTATTTTGATGGTGCCAGCTTTTTGCTTTGGGGAGAGCGTGAATAGTGTGGTGCTACATTTGTCTGTGTTGATGCTGACACACCATCTATTGGCCCATGCCTCAAGTGCATTTGTAGCCCGCTGTAGTGTTTTTGTGGCTATCGTTGCATGTTCATTGGTGCACCACAGTACCAGGTCGTCGGCATACATTGCCATTTTGATTCCATTTGGTATCTCAGCAACCAGATCGTTAATAAATAAATGGAAAAGTGTGAGCGACAGGACACCACCTTGAGGGACGCCTTGTCGCAGTAGAACTTTTTTACTTTTAAAACCATCTACCTGTACCCGGGCTCTTCTGTTATGTAGATATGCTTTAATCCAATTGTACATTTTTCCATTTTTTTTATAGTTTCTCAATTTCTTCAAAAGCCCCTCCTTCCAAACCTTATCAAAAGCTTTTCTTAAATCTATCCATGATTTTGAATTCTAAAACTGTCTCATCTAATCTTTTGAAGCTAACAGCTTTATTCTTTACATTACTTCTAAAACTGTCTCATCTTGTGCAGCTAACATTTTTATTCTTCACCTTACCTAACAGCTTTATTCTTTACATTACTTCTAAAGCTGTCTCATCTTGGGAAGCTAACATTTTTATTCTTCACATAACTTCTTATGCTGTCTCATCAAGTGATACTAACAGTTTGATTGTTTGCGTGGTGAAATTATTTTCCTTCTTTATAACAAAAAGTTCACAATGATATTGTCACTAAACTGTTGAAAGATTTTAGTGTTTTGTTTTGTTATTCCTGAGTAATATCCACCTGAATGGTTAAAAGTCTCTCATTCTGGAGACCTAGGTTTCCATCCTCAGTCAGATGGTAGGAATTTCTCAGCGAGTTGAGTCAAGAATTGACATCACGGCACTTAGTTCATTTCAATGTGTACTCCGTCATCATCTCCAGCAGCCAGCGCCGAGTTCCAGTACAATCTGGTTGTATGTCCGTCTTGCCTTTCCTCTGAGTGTAGGAGCCGGCCAGACCCTCTGGTTACACCCAGGTGCCTCATTCTCTCCAGGCCATAATAAACTTCTTTCTCTACTGATTCCGTTGCTTGTTCTCAGTGAGAGGGAAAAGATAGAATCCTAACCTGCACAGTTTGTATTGGCTACACTGACAGCTTTAAACTCCTGGCCCCAATACACCCTGCCCTACTCGACCCAAATATGTCGTAAAATAAGGGCAGTAACAACATGACAGAGTAACTTTTTGTTGTAAAGTTAACAGTGTTGGTTTCTTTATTTGTTAGCTGCTATGTTATAGCTATTCTCATTTAATACACTGTTTGTCAGTCAGTGTCTTAGCCAATGTTGGCTCCGGGATTGGGGGGGGGGGGGGGGGGGGTTGTTGGGCGGGAAAATAAAAGCATAGAGCCACTGCCCCATAACAAGAATGTCTTTAAAGACGATTAATTAGGGTATGCTAAAATCCATTGGGCCAAAGGTTTCAGATCTCACTACTACACAACTATGCTTGTAAGGGCAAAAAAGAAGAAGGCAGTGTCTGTGTCTTGGGAAATATGAACACAGCGTGACAGTCACAGCAAATCATAGATCAGTATCAGCTGCAGGCAGTTTGGTAGCAGTCCAAACAAATAAGCCAGTAAAACGGATGTACACGCAAAACTCAGGTCCGGGTAAAAGCCAAAAGTCCAAATGGACGCACTACCAGGACGTTCCATCAGAATTCACAGCCGGTGAATGAAGAAGAAGAAGGGAGCAGTCCATGTTTCATGATTTTGAGGAGATATATGCCATGTACCATTCAGAAGGCAGTTACAAACTACTGAACATTAATTTGCTTATTAAACCCACACTGCTGTCAATAAATTCTGCTTCAGATTCACAACTGTAAGTTGTAACTAATCCATGTGTTTCAGACGGCAAAGAATAACCACCTGGCTTTACAAGATTTCTTCAGGAAGTTTCCAGAATACAGTAGGAATGAGTTGTACCTCACCGGAGAGAGTTACGCTGGCATTTATGTACCTACACTTGCTTCTCTTGTTTTAGATGATCCCAGTCTTAATATCAAGGTATGTCTTCATCCACTGCATGTTATTGCTAATGTATAAGGCATTCACAAATGATCTCCAAGACCGCTGGTCTGCTGATTTTCTGCCCTTGGTATCCCATGTTAGTTTCCTTCTATTTCCCTGTCTATATTGTTCAACAACAACAAAATATGCGTAGTTATCCGGTAACACAGCTTTATTAGTTGATGGGGAATCCTGTTCACCTAAAGAATTATTGATGATGCAGATGCAGAAGAACTGCCGATTAGTTGAACCCTGATGTATTCTTGTATACCACTTGAACAATTTCACTCATTAAATAACAAATATTTTAAATCTCAAATTATGACAATATTATTTTCATTTCATTAGCTATGCATTTTGTTGTTGTTGCTGTTGATTTGTTTGAGTTGTATATTCAAGGTGCATATTCACTCATAGTTTAGAAGAAATTACTATGTTTATCCTTTTATTTCTTGGCAAAATGCTCACAGTAGGGGAATGGTTACCCAGAACAAAAGAAAACGATATTCTTTGTGCTGGTAAGGACAAGAGAAAAATTGGAGTGCAATGTGACAGCAGGAAAGTTGGAGGCGAGGAGGAGAATAAGAAGACCTAGAAAGATGTTGGACAGTTTGGCATCATGGCATGGAGAGACATCTTTTGTGTACAATTATTGGCCGTACTATAACAGAAGGTTGAGGAGAGATATAATAACCAATGCAAAATGGGATGACTTAAGGAAGCAGAAACATAATTTAAGAGAATGTACAAGTAAAATATACTAAAGGATTTGAGTTGAGTTGATTCAAGAACTGATTCCCATAAGCGCTATGTCCCCATCTTCAGCAGCCAGAGAAGAGTTCCGATATAATGGTGCCAGTAGCATTCTGATCACACGTCTGTCTTGCCTTTCCTCTGAGCCTCGAGCATCTGCCAGAACCTCCCGTCACTCCCCTCTGCATCAAATCTCACCAGACTGGTGATCCATCTGCTTGTCCGAACTGTACATGTTCTCCCACAAGGCACTAACCACGTCTGCTCTGTCATGCATCAGTATTCCACCAAGTTGTGCAGAGCCAGCCAGTCTGTTCGCTTGTTCATTTCCCAAGACACTGGCATATCCCGGTGAAAAAATCCAGACAATACTCCTCACCAGTGTTCTCCACAGTGAAGCATGCCACTATGCACAAAGCACACCTGTTCTGATCTTCCTCAGCATGCTTTCTGAGTCAATTACAAAAACGATGTGTGTGTGTGCCGTGTTCCCTAGCCAGCGGAAAAGTGCATTGACTGCCTCCATTCTTAAGTTGGATGTTGTGGTATCATATGCTAGGCTCTCCTGCACCAAACATCGACCATTAACTTTTGCTAAGAAACCCTAAGCTTTTCTTTTGCCTCTTGACACTGAACCTTCTGTGTAAATAATCAAATCCTCTGAGCGAGCATTATCTTGAATTAATTGCTGAATTTCCACCCTCATTAAGTTTCCAATAAATGTGGACCTTCACAGTTTGCCATCTCACACAGTCAACAGTCTTGGATCAAATCTGTATATTCTTTTCCCAGTTATGCCACATTGTCTCTTTGTCTTACCCTCTTTCTCTAGATTAAAAGCTGTAAGCTAACAAACACCATGTAAACTAACAACAAGGATAGAAGAAAACTAACAACAAAGTAAAATATCCATGTAAACTAACTAGGATAGAGAAACATGCAAAACTGATGACACTGATAGACATAAGGAAACTAACAACAAGGATAATAAAACATTCAAACTAGCAAATATAGAGGAACATGCAGTTAACAAGGATGGATAAAATCCAAACTGACAGCAAGGATAGAAACTTGCTTACTAATGGGAAGGATAGCCAAACATGTAAAATAACAGCAAGGATAGACAAACATGTAAAATAACAGCAAGGATAGAGAAACCTGCAGCTAATGTCAGAAATAGAGAAATTTGCAAGTGACAGGGATAGAGAAACGTGCAAACTAATGACAGGGATACAGAAACATGCAAACTAATGACAGGGATACAGAAACATGCAAACTAATGACAGGGATACAGAAACGTGCAAACTAATGACAGGGATACAGAAACGTGCAAACTAATGACAGGGATACAGAAACGTGCAAACTAATGACAGGGATACAGAAACGTGCAAACTAATGACAGGAATACAGAAACATGCAAACTAATGACAGGGATACAGAAACATGCAAACTAATGACAGGGATACAGAAACGTGCAAACTAATGACAGGGATACAGAAACGTGCAAACTAATGACAGGGATACAGAAACATGCAAACTAATGACAGGGATACAGAAACATGCAAACTAATGACAGGAATACAGAAACATGCAAACTAATGACAGGGATACAGAAACATGCAAACTAATGACAGGAATACAGAAACATGCAAACTAATGACAGGGATACAGAAACATGCAAACTAATGACAGGGATACAGAAACATGCAAACTAATGACAGGGATACAGAAACATGCAAACTAATGACAGGGATACAGAAACGTGCAAACTAATGACAGGAATACAGAAACATGCAAACTAATGACAGGGATACAGAAACGTGCAAACTAATGACAGGAATACAGAAACATGCAAACTAATGACAGGGATACAGAAACATGCAAAATGACTACAGAAACGTGACTAATGACATAATACAGAAACATGCAAACTAATGACAGGGATACAGAAACGTGCAAACTAATGACAGGGATACAGAAACGTGCAAACTATTGACAGGGATACAGAAACGTGCAAACTAATGACAGGGATACAGAAACGTGCAAACTAATGACAGGAATACAGAAACGTGCAAAAATGACAGGAAACAGAAACAGGGATACTAAGAAAGGGATGCAGAAACATGCAAACTAATGACAGGGATACAGAAACATGCAAACTAATGACAGGAATACAGAAACGTGCAAACTAATGACAGGGATACAGAAACATGCAAACTAATGACAGGGATACAGAAACGTGCAGACTCTTAGCAAGAATAATAAAACATGCAGACTATCAGCAATGACAGAGAAACATGCAAACCGACAGCAAGGATAGAAACATGTTTACTAATGGGAAGGATAGAAAAACACGTAAAATAACAGCAAGGATAGACAAACATGTAAAGTAACAGCAAGGATAGAGAAACCTGCAAACTAACATACAACATGCAAATTAATAAAAAGTATAGAGAAGCATGCAAAACAACAAGGATAGAGAAACATGCAAAATAAGAAGGATAAAGAAACATGCAATTAACAAGGATAGAGAAGCGTGCAAAATAACAAGGATAGAGAAACATGTAGTTAACAAGGATAAAAACATGCAAGCTAACAAGGATAGAGAAACAAGCAAAGTAACAACAAGGATAGAAACATGCACATTAATAACACTTATTTATATATATCCACACAGCACTTTAAATTCATGTACTGGCATTAAGGTAGCCGGTGATCTGATTTCTTTCTGATTCTGTGAGTCGCAGCCTGATAGTAATAAGCACTTATTTCAGATCTAACAAGGATCCAATCTTCACAAAAAAAGGAGGGAAAAAAAATTTATTTCCAACTTATTCATAGGTCAGAAATGATCAGAAACTTATTTCATCTTATTGTACAGTGTGAACATGTTCTTTGAGCCAAATGACAAGTGAGTGTTGTCTATGGCTTTACCAACATTCAGGAAGTAACAAGTGAACATCACATTGAGTTTCAAGTTTTAACTTTCTTTTGCCAGAGGTGTGTGAGTGTGTGTGTGTGTTTATGTATGCATGTGTGCATGTGGACATGAACACGAAAGAGAGAGAGGGAAAGAGCATGTAAAGTAACAGCTTTCTGTCTTATTTGCATTGATTCCCCCCATTATTAAATTAGTATTGTTACCTAGACTCTGTATGCCACCATCATCTGGTGAGGAGCAATATGTGAAGTCTGTATTCATTATTTCTCTGCAGCATGTCCAGCTGATCTTTTCTAATATCTAACTGTTGACTACTCTCTGTTCCACCAGGGTTATGCTGTAGGTAATGGACTCTCTGACAACAGTATGAATGACAACTCCATTGTCTACTTCACCTATTACCATGGCTTGATTGGAACCAAGTGAGTTGTTTGACATAAGCAAGGACACTCATGACGATAACCTGTTAGAAAAAAAAAATGTTTGCATGTCTTCTCCCAAATGTCATAAACCAGCCATATCATTTATTGGCTGTTGTGGGGTTTTACGAGATAATTTTGCATTCACTTCTTCTTTTCTCTACTCTTTGAATGCAGACTCTCCTTCTGATATCATCATTCCTATGTCACTCTTTCCTTTTTACATCTCACATAGTACGTAAATATTTCATTTCTGTCGTGACTGTTTTTCCTTCTGTCTTCTGAAGACTGTCCATGTTTGACATTGATAGCATAGCGTTGGTAAGAATATTGTGTTGAACAGTGTTCTTTTAGTGTTCATATTCACATGCTTGCATTTCAAAACCTTGTTGGCTTTATTGCGTCTTTGTTGGATTTCTTTAATTATTCTTCAGTCTTCTGAAACAATGCTCCCCAGATATGTCAAATCCTTTGCCTGCTTTAACTGGTGTTCATCAGTTTTGATATTGATGGTTCTTCCTTTTCTGGAGAGTGTCATCACTTCTGTTTTGTCTACGTTGATCTTCTGATCATAGTTGCTGCATTCTGAATGGAGTCTATTAATATGTTGCATTCACTAACACAGTGATTTAAACTAATGTGGACAGCAGAATGATACAGTGCTCATTCTCTTGTCTAAGTCAGGGCAAATCAGTGTGCTACTTAATCACAGCAGCTTTCTTTGAGCTGCAGTATGTCCAAATTATGAAACTGTTTACAACCACTAAGTCAGACACCATCAGAATATCATATAAACTTGTTACTTATCAAAATCCTAGCATATCGGTTCACCCCATTTGTGCTCGATCCTCTGATGCAGCAGCCATCTCTGCGTCTCCGTGCACAGCTAACCCAGGAGGAGTTGATTAGCATAACCTCTTTCTTGGTCCCACAGCTGGTTTCTGCATGCCTGTCTTCCTTTAATGCCAATTTCCAGCAGTCGATTTATTGTCTCTGACTCCTTTGTCTCAAGGTTCTCTAGACAGCAGCTGTGTCTGCCCTTCCCATACCTCTTCCTTCACACAGACTCTGTCAGTCTGATAGCTGTTTACTTTCCCCTCACCCTGGTGTATCCTGTGTGTGTACAGCAAAGATAGTTTCTAGAGGCAGGATTTATGGAGGCTTTCAGGCCATTCTAGTCAGAGCTTGCCCATTTGGAACTTCTTAAGCCTGCTCAATGAGTCCGTCACTATCAGTGCGTTAGTTACATGTTGTTCTGCCAGCCCTGCCAGTGCCCCTGTGACAGCTGCCATCTCCATTGTCATGCTGCAAGTTGAACCCAAAAACTGACTTTTTTTTTTTTTTTTACTGTCTTCCCATTCATCTGCACTGTCTATATCCATCGAGACCACATGTCATGCATCACTGAGCTGTCTGTATAGATGTCACCTGGTCAATGTAGTCATGGATAATGAGCCTTATTTTAGCATCAGCGACTGTTTGGCTGCATTCTCTGCAATACCTCTCCAGGTTGATTATTACCACAGTGTGCTCCTGCAATTGTGTTGGTGTTTCTCTTAATTCAGCACAGAGCCTAACATGTTGTAGTGGGCAAATTTGGATAATGGTATCCTTTTCTTCTGCCATCCAGGACCTCTTTAGGCGCTCACATTTGTTTACCAGTCGCAGCTGTGCTAAGAGTGTTTTATGTCAGCTGCAACACAAAGAACAACCTTTGCCGAGGCATCTTATGTCTAGTGGCCATGTCTGGCAGGTCGAGGTTATATCAAATGACCTGACATGAGTTGTCACTTGTGCACTGGAGAATCAGTCACATGGCTTTATTTTGCACTTTCTATAGTTTTTTTATAGCTGATGTCTGCTGATTGTGATGAGGCCAAGCTCACAGTCAATCACTGAGAGCACCAAACTCCAGTAAAGCATAAGCAGTAGTCTTAACAATGGATAAACATAGTTAAAAAATCATTTGGTAATCTGTGTGTTGCTAGGGTCTGTAAGGGAATACAAGAATACTGACACTGTAACCCATCATTCATGTCATATGAGGCGACTAAGGTGGGTTCATGAGGGACTGACCTCATCCAGTAGAGCACAGGCTCCCAACCCAAAGGTCCCAACTCCATTTGGGGTTGCCAGTCAGTGGTGAGTTGTGAAAATTATAAAAATGATAACAAAGATGGCATTATTGCATCTTGCCAAGGGTTTTTTAGGGGATTCTGGGCTCTGCCAGACTTGTGATTGGTCAATAATAGGAATACATCAGTTGAGAGTCTAGTCTGGCTTCTTGCGGGTGGTAACAAGAATTTTATAACAGTGAATTCTGTTAAATATAATAAATCATCTATCAATATGAATCGATTGATCCCGCTTCCAGTAATTTTTGATGAATTTTCATATACCTTGTTCAAAAGCCTGTTTTGATTGTATTGAGTAAAATTGAGTTGTGACTTGAAAAAGGTTGGATACCGCCACAGTAGACGATGCATAACTGCAAAATCCAACCAGAAAATGCGTTTACAGGAAAGTAATGAATAAGTAATTGCCAACCAAGATGAACGACGACTCCTAAAAGAAATTTGAAACAAGGCAGCGAAAGCTGTAAAGAGTCTAGATTACAGACTGACAGTCATGCTTTCTTCTTACAGTCCATGCCATGTGGCACTGGTAGCCATGTCTGACCACAACTGCCTATCTCGGTGTACTTTCACTTAGTTCTGACACAGGTGATCTTCTATTCCATGATGTGAAACTGTCCATCTTCATCTCTGTCTCTGTCTGCTTCTTTTTCCCCTCCAAATTTCCCACCACCACTATGTATTCCAGTTTTCTTTTTCTCATGACATGAACAAAGAATATAGATTGTCTCCATCATTTATTCACTTAGGTACATTTTTTTAATTAATACCATGAATGTCAGAATCTGTATGAATTGGATAAGACAATACCTGTGCAAGGAGAAATTAAATATAAGAAAAGACTGGCATTTTATTGTGCAGAATAAGATGAAATGGATCTAGAAAAAGCATCTAAACACTGAAGAAGCAATGCTTTTCTCAGGCCTTACTCTCAAAGTCCCTCCTAGCGCTATATAAAGAGGCAGAGAAAGGCTTAAGAGAGTTAAATAGGATTTTTCTTCTTTTTTTGTGTGTACACACGTCATCCCCTTGTGGGATGCAATTTTTCGTTATCTGAAACCTCACCCTGGCTTTTGCCTCTGGCCCTGAATATAGCTGGGCCACAATTGTGGCCATAATAGCTGTAAGGGGTTTCTGGGACCACTCCACAGTGAACCTCATCTGCATGGTGGCACTTTGTGTCACTGGGTGTTTATCACTTGTGTGATGTCCTGCAAGCAAGCTTATAGACTGGAAAGAAGCAAATTATTGAATAATAACATGGTATTTTTACAACTGCAAAAGAAAGTAATAATAAATGGGATTCTGCGTTGCACACCAACAAATAATCATCATGAATCAGTTAAGGCTAACATTTTTATGGAACTTCAAAGAACTACACGTAATCAAAGCAAACAAAATATGAAAGTTATGAAGAGTGACCTGAATGTCTAGATAGGATCGGTCAGATAACATTGATTATGAAGACATGAAAGGGAAACCTAGATGAGGCAGTGAATGAGAACTAAAAATTCAATCTTTTCCAGTAAATCATGTCATTAGAAGGAAGCATTTTCACAATACATGAAAATATTAAGCAAAGTGGATATCTCTAGATGACACTGCAGAAAATCGAATTGATTATTTTTGTATTCGCCAAATATTCAGATCATCTTTTCACTCCCATAAGTGCTCAGTTCCCATCTTCAGCAGCAAGCGAAGAGTTCCAATTCCGATGGTACCAGTAACTGTCTCATCCTTCCCCTGAGTGTTGAGCATCGGCCAGATCCCCTTGTAACTCCTCGCAGCGACATTCTCCTTAGACCGTAATGATTAGTCTGAGCCTCCGCACTGATCACTCACTCCCAAAAGGCCCTCACAACATCTAACTTGTCATACATCAGTTCACCACCAAGTGGTGCAGAGCCAGCCAGTCTATCTGCCTGCTCATTTCCCAACACACCAGCATGACCTGGAGAACATATCCAAAGGATGCTAATTAAACTCAAGAGGCATTTAACAATACAGTGTAGAATATTTCAGAAATTAAGAACCAAGTGACAATTTTCTATATCAAGTACCAGGTCTTGCAAAAGTTAGTATATGTGTTTTATGTCCTAATTGCTCATTGTAATTATTTTAAACAGAAGCACGCATGTAAATCTGAAAGTTAATCAGATATTATAATCATGATGTTGCAGGGAATGGTTCCGGATGTTGCATGCATGCTGCCCTGGAAATGAGACAGAACTGTGGTGTGATTTTGTTGCTGGGAGCGCAAAGTACCCAGAGTGTCAGAAGGAGGTGCTGTAGTTTTTGCTGTCAAATTCCACCATTTATATACTATTTGCATTTCTGTTTTGAATGTTTGTGACCTTGTGTATGCTTCATTGACTACCATGGAGTAATCCAGCCTAGATCCCCCATGAGAGTTGATCCTTTCGCCACGGAAACCAGGAAACCATGGGGGAAAGAAGGGGGAAGGGGGAGGGGGGTAAGGCCCAGAACCCGGGAATTCCCAGGGAAAAAATTCTTTATTTATTTATTTACATTTTAAAATTGTTTAAAGAAATATAAGAAGTGGAATAATTAATAAATAGGAACATAGCAGATACAATATCTTTGGGCCTAAAAATATTTATATGATAAATCAGACTTGATCCCGCCGCTCTGCAACAGCTAAAGGCAAATTATAGCATCATAATGACTATAAAAAGCCACATTTTTGCAAAGTGGACTTACCCTTCCCCCCTCCCCCACCCCCCATGCTTTTTTCTTCAAAAGAATATCATATCCAGGCCTCTTAAACACTGTATAGGCACAAACAGACCCTGTGCTATCAATTAGGCCAAATGGTGTCTGTCCAAAGACATAAGACCTTTGTACAGGTTTCCTGGGGATCTGTAACAGATGTCACAGAACAAGTGTCTGCGACTGAGTATGTAAGGTTTAACATCAGCTTTGCAGATGAAAACATCAAATCATCATCAGGTGCCTGGCTTAAAATAACATATGCATTCATATCTTCATATTGTTCCTGCTTTAGATCAGGTCCAAATAGTTAACTTGCACATAGGCCCTCCTGCTTTTCATCGCTGTCCAACAAGGTGTTAGGTATAGAATCTCATTATCCACAAGATCAGGGGATGTGAGATACCAGTCCACACCAGTGATTCTTATAATAATTTAAAGCCCTTTAGCTTCTATAACATAGTGGCAAAATGTTAATAGTATAGCATAATGGGTTAATGTTCATAATATAGCACATTGGCCTAGTGTTCATAGTGTAGCACAGTATAGCGCACAATGGCCCAATGTTACGGTATCGCACAGTGGCATAATGTTGCAGTACAGCATAGTGGCATAATGTTACTGTACAACACTGGCATAAGTTTACAGTACAGCACAGTGGCATAATGTTACAGCACAGCATAGTAGCATAATGTTACAGTACAGTGCAGTGGCATAATGTTACTCTACAACACAGTGGCATAAGGTTACAGTACAGCACGGTGGCTTGATGTTCTGGTATAGCATGGCGGCATAATGTTCTAGTATAGCATGGCGGCATAATGTTATAGTATAGCATGGTGGCATAATGTTATAATATAGCATGGTGGCATAATGTTATAGTATAGCATAGTGGCATATATTAATAGGACTGGTGAACAGTACTCTTGTTGTGTCTAATGACGCATGTTAATTGTAAAATATTTGTGACAGTGGCCTTACTTGCCTTGCTTCTGGTGGTCGCAATGCGCAGAGATTTCTGCACCTTGTGAAACCAAAGTAAACTAATTGCTAATGTTGATATTCTGACCATTGTAGAATGATACATAGAACCTGTTCTGCTGTATGGCAATGAATCTTGGAATGTCAGTGAACAAATCAGGAAGAATTTGGAAGCAGCAGAGATGTGGTTTCTGAGACGAATGTTACGAATATCTCTGACGGCCAGAGTAACTAACAACGATTGCTTGAAAGAAGCTAACATAAGTAGAATCTCTATATACAACAATAAGAAAGAGACAAACACTGTTCTTTGGCCACATAATGAGAAGAGAGACATTGGAGAACATCGTGACAACTGGAAAGATCAGTGGAAAAGGGGGTAGAGGCAGACCAAGAGAGATTATGCTGGATGGGCTGAAACGATGGCTTGTAGCGATATCATCAAGGAAGAGCTGTTCCAGGCAACCAGGGCACATATTGATGATGTAGAATGATAGGATTTACAGTCTAATGTGAAACAGCTGTTCCAGATTATAACAATTACTAATATTCTGACCATCACAGAATGAGAAAATCTATTAGCTAGCGCAGGGATATTTAACTCGCAGCCTGTGGTCCAAATCTGGCCTGCATAGGCTTAGCAAGTGGCCCACGTATCATTAGCAATTGTATTGTATAAATGATCTTTCTTTGCTAGGGCTCAGGCCTCTGGCCTGCGACGATCCCCATTTTCAAAATGATTGCTCCTGGCTAAACAGTTGGATAGCCCTGATATGGTATGTAACCAACATTCCAGATTAAATTAATTACTGGTAATTTATATCATGAAGTTGCCATTGCAGAGTAAAATGATCTACCATCTTTATAGTTCCAAAATAGATTAAGGTGATTACTGGTCACATTCTTGCCATTACAGAATGATAGGATCTACAATCTGGTGTGGAACTCTGGGCTGAATGTGTACAACCTGTACTCTGAGTGCGCCGGAGGTGCCACTAGCCATAACCTGCGCTTTGATGCTGACCGGGGCAAGTTTGTTACTAGCAACTTTGGATGGCCATTCGCATTCTTGAAAGACAGAGCTGCAGAACTGAGACAAGTATGTTACATATCCATGTAAACACCTCATTTGACAGTTACATATCAGTGTAAACACCTTGTTTGACAGTTACTTATCAGTGTAAAGATTTTATCTGACTGTTACACATCAGTGTAAACACTTTACCTGACAGTTACATATCAGTGTAAACACTTTATCTGACAGTTACAATCAGTGTAAACACTTTATCTGACAGTTACATATCAGTGTAAACACCTTTTTGACAGTTACATAGCAGTGTAAACACTTTATCTGACAGTTACATATCAGTGTAAACACTTTTTCTGACAGTTACATATCAGTGTAAACACTTTATCTGACAGTTACATATCAGTGTAAACACTTTATCTGACAGTTACATATCAGTGTAAACACTTTATCTGACAGTTACCTGTCAGTGTAAATACCAAAAATGACTATTACCTGTCAGTGTAAATACTTTATCTGACAGTTACCTGTCAGTGTAAATACCAAAAATGACTATTACCTGTCAGTGTAAACACCTTGTTTGACAGTTACATATCAGTGTAAATACTTTATTTGACAGTTACATATCAGTGTAAATACTTTATTTGACAGTTACATGTCAGTGTAAGTGTAAAAATCTTTTTTTGACAGTTACATGTCAGTGTAAACACTTTGTTAGATATTGCAAGTCATCTGAATCACTTTCTTTGGCTTTACATATCACCCAAAACATCTTATTGACATTGCAAATCACCTGAATTGCCTTCTTTGGTTTTACATTTCACCTGAAACATCTTTGGCATTACATATCACCTGAAACATCTTTGTTACCATTTCATATCACTTATGGCATCTTCTTTGACACTTATATTTTCCTTTTTTTTTTTTAAATTACATATCACCTGTAGTGGCCAGACGCTCACCTGCAGATCTGATCGAAAAAGACTTTTGCTCCCAGGTAGACTCAGCCTTAAATGGGTACCAGGTACAGTCCTGGGCAGTGAAGGCCAGTGCGGTCCTGTATCCTTGCATCCCTTGAAATTGCCACTCATTAATTTCTGCAATGTTCTGTATATCCCATACTTGACTGAAACATTTTCTGGCAGTATATTGGTGAATGAGAGACTCTGGATTTTTTCAAACATAACCTTGGCTCCTAGGTCAACCCAGCCTCAAATGGTACCTGGTAGGTAAAGGGCTGGGAAGTAAAGGTGACCGGTGTGATGTTATCCACATGACTCAAGGGCTAGTTGGTCTATAACAATAAGAGTCTAGCCTCACATACCCAGTGTGCCACTGGCGTATAGAGGAACCTTTTATGCTGGTGAATTCTCCATTTTCTATAGAACAGACTGAAACATGACCCTCACTATTGACAGTTGGGAGCCAATACATATGTACCCCTCAGATTCTACTGTACTGTTAAAATATTTAACTTTATGAGTTTGTAAAAATTTTAATTATATTTTTCCCCTTGTTATTTTGTTACATTTTTTCATTCTTTTACTATGTCATTTCTTTGTATCTTAAGTTATTTTGGGTGATTTCAGCTGAGCTGGTTATCGAGAAGTAATTTGACACAACAGAAACTTTGATTAAACTAACAGCTCACTGTTATTTGTACTTGTCTTTTCTGTCATCTCTGTTGAACTTCGTAGTTGTAGTTTGTGTTGTCTTAATTTACTTCTTTACAACTGACCTTGCATGCATCTCACTATTGATACCTGGAACATCCACACCCCACCCACACAGGATTACAGGTTACTTCATAACCATTTTATGGTGCCCCATTTTAACTGTGCTGTATGGCTATAGGGTTGAATGGGCTTTCCAGGATTTGTATCTGTTTGATTCTCATCCATGAGATGGTAATCCTACAATGTTCAGTCCTGGAGGGGAAAAACTGTTTAAAAACAAAAACAAAACAAAAACTAGTGAAGAAAAGTACCTGAATTGTTTATGTAGCCATAATGTCTTCACTATTCTAATAGAGTACATCTGTTGTTCCTGTTGCTATAGTTTTTTGTTGTTGTTGTTGTTGGTAATAATAAAGTGACAACTCCACATTGTAGGTCGACTGTACTGTCTCTTCAAGGGGCATTCATAGAAGCTTCTTCCAGTATATTTCCTAATGTTGTCCATCCATCTGTAATGTCATAATCCTCTTGCACATCTCTAATGTTTGCACCAGCATTCAAGCTGTTTAGTTGAGGTGAGAACTGCATCACAGCACTTAGACAATCCTATGAGTGTTCTATCTCCATTTTCACAAACCAGCACAGTTCCAGTTCCAAAGGTACCAGTTATGTTATACATGTTATCACAATCGACGTCACTGCACATCAGGCATTCCCCTGCATGCTCAGTCCTTTGATACAGCAGCCACTCCAGGGTAATTCTACTAATTGTTCCCATGAGAAGTTGGTTATAATGTCTCCTATCTCGGCCTTGAAGGCAGCAAAGACATGCTTCACCATGCTTTGCTCCCATGTCATACAATTGTGCTCAAGAGATTCATCATTATCCGCTAGCCCAGTCTGTACAACGTTGATGGTATCTGCCTTGTCCCTGCTTCTTTCCATATGTGTTAGTGCATTGCTTGCCAGTTGGTCTGCTGGCTCATACCCTTTACACCAGCATGACCAAGTGTGTAGATCTGGATGAGAGAGGTTAAGTGCAATTTTCAAATGCTTTCTACCCATTCAGAGCGCATACCGCCTGTTGCTATCTTCAGAAGCATGTTCATGAAGTCTGATACAATTACTGCCTGTGTGGCTGTTTGCTTTGATGCCCACGCTAGTGCTCTAGAAGCAGTGGCTATCTCCATGGTACCAGGGATACCAGTCTGATTAAATGCCCATCTTGCATGTCCAGTAAGTGTTGAGTGTTGGCCAGATTGCCTGGTCACTCCCGGATGTGTACTTTTATATGACCAAAGTACCTTAATTGTCATTCAGCATTTTCTTTGATCCCATTAGATTTAATACTTCTCTTTTGTCTTCTGTTTGTGAGTTCATTTATGAAAACTTGCTGTCAATTTTATTGCCATATATTCTGTCTGCTTGCCTATTGACATTAAATAGTCATCGGTTGATCTCAGCATAACTGCAGTCACCTTGATTTAGTCTACTGTTGTATTATTTATTTATCATTACCTTAATTCCATTATGCCGCTTGTCATTGGGTCATCAATTTTTTTTGTGTGTGTGACTGTCTGATCAGCTGCCTGCACCTCTGTCATTCAGCAGCAGTGGACATGATGTCTGTATGTTTGAAGTCTGTCCTTTGAGCCAAATTCTGTATCCAGGTCTTTTTGTGGTCTGCCTTTTTCCTCTTTCCCTTTACAGAGAGAGCACTCTAGTATCATTTTGTAGAGGCAATAGATCTTGCTGCATGTCCCAACCATTGTTTATTAGTTGTTAGTTAACGCCATGTTTATTGTTCTTGTTTAAGCAACTCAGTATGATACCTGCAGACAAACTTGTCTCATCCCCACCCTGTACAAACGATACCTCCATTGTCAAGTACCTCAACAGCCCCAGAACCAGAGATGCTCTCCATATACCTGATGATGTACAGGAATGGGAACTGTGTAGGTGAGTGCATTTTTGGTATTTCTTATTTCTGTCACGATGGCAAAACTGCACACACACAGGGTATGACTGGAGGTATACCACAAGGCAGTCAAGAGATAATATCCAGGCACACCTACAAACACTGCAGAGAGAAGGCCAGTCAGAGAGATAATATCCAGGCACACCTACAAACACTGCCTAGAGAAGGCCAGTCAGAGAGATAATATCCAGGCACACCTACAAACACTGCCTAGAGAAGGCCAGTCAGAGAGATAATATCCAGGCACATCTACAAACACTGCCTAGAGAAGGCCAGTCAGAGAGATAATATCTAGGCACACCTACAAACACTGCCGAGAGAAGGCCAGTCGGAGAGATGATATCTAGGCACACCTACAAACACTGTCCGAGAGAAGGCCAGTCAGAGAGATGATATTAAGCCACAAAGGCTTGAAAAGCTAAAGAAGAAACAGAATAAGATGGTAAAACAGTTAGGGCTGCTACCTACTAAGACGATAGTCTAGTTGCACTTGTCAGCAGAACATGGACTGGTCGGTCGGCAGGGCCATGGTAGGCAGGGCCATGGTCGGCAGGGCCATGGTAGGCAGGGCCATGGTAGGCAGGGCCATGGCAGGCAGGGCCATGGTCGGCAGGGCCATGGTAGGCAGGGCCATGGTAGGCAGGGCCATAATCGGCAGGGCCATGGTAGGCAGGGCCATGGTCGGCAGAACCATGGTAGGCACAGGAGAAAGCAATGGACCAGGTCGATGTTCTGAATACTCCTAACTCTTTAAGGCCCAAGCATCGGTGTGAGCGTTGATTGAGAAGTTCCGTTTTGCCCAAATAATGCTGTCATCGTCAATCGTGTGTATCATACATTTAGTTTCGCACACGGCTCCATAACTTGTTTCTAATGTTCGGAAGTACAATTAAACTATTCAGGGAAAGTCACTCTGCCAAAACCCTTCCAGCTACTATCACTGTCAGAAGCTACACGTGCATAATTTGGTCAGATTCACAGCGAAATTTTTTTTCAACAGTTTATTTTCTAAGGTAGTTTTTGAGTGCCATGAATACCAATGTTCCAACCACAAGTACAGGTCGCAGAATCCGTCTTTCTGCAGCCGAAGCTCTGAAATTGTTTCAGTCATATGTTTTTAATTCTGATAATGAAAATTTAGATTTTGCGAGGAGTTACCAGGTGATCTGGCCAACGCTCAACACTCAGGGGAAGGATGAGACGGATATACAGTCAGACGGTTACTGGTACCATCAGAATTATAACTCTTCACTTGCTGCTGAAGATGGGGACTGAGCACTCATGGGAGTGTCCTGAGTGCTGTGTTGATGATTCTTGATTCAACCTTCAACATTTTTAAGCAAAAAAAAAGGGAGTCTGTTGTTCCCATGTGCCACAGGCATTATATTATCAGTTATAATTCTGCCATAGACATATTCTATTAATATTGAATAAGCTATCACTTGTCCACACATATGTTCATTGATAGTTGCGGATCCACTGTCACTTTGCCATAAATGTGCTTTCTTTGTTAGTTGTGGATCAGCTGTCATTCATTCACAGACATACATTCTGTGCTGTTTAAAAAAAATGGAAACAAATAGCTACTAAAGAAACATAATTTTCACATTCAAAATTTTCTGAGTGAAATTGTTCCAATTGCACCCAAGGATATCCTAGGGTTCAGCCATTCGGTTAATATATAGTTCTTTTGCTTCTGGGTCATCGATGGTTTTTAGGCCTTACAGGCTTTTCCATCGGATAATAAAAATCGGATGACTTTGAAGTAACAGGAAAGCGCTTTTAGATAACTGTGCATTTCTTTGAAGAGTATATGTTCATGGTAGGTCAAATATAACTCTACTAAAGATGAACACAATTTTCTTGCACGTTTTCTTGACATCAGCTGTTATTTACTGAATTCAGTTAAAATGTAACTATGTTTGTTCTGCTCAGCAACGTTGTATCTGCCACCTATAAACGAACATATTCAACAGTGGCTCCACAATATCAAAAGGCAATAAACAAAAAGGTAAACTTGTATATTGTGCATTTGCTTGACTGTTCATGCATGATTAGTCTGTAGTTTGTTTTGTCATTAGTTTCCACTTCTGCTGTACAGGTTGTGGGTTGAAACAGTTTGCGATCCATTGTTTGATGGGCAGCAGTGGCTATTGTCATTCCACGTCATGTAAAATAAGGGTCTAGTGCTGTATGCCCAATATGTCTGAAGGCATGAAGAAATGGTTCTTTTTACTCAACTGGCCGGGTCCGTGGCTAAAGTGTTGCCAGTCCGATTCATAATTAAACATGCCGTGATCGAAACCCACTGCTGGCTGCGTGGATTTTTATCATGGAATGGAGCGTTGCAGGTCGACCCACCCTAAAATGGATACCAGGATGAATGTCCTGGGGAAGTAAAGACGGATATCACCAAGAGAGCTGTTCTAGGCAACCAGGGATCGTGATCTGTGGAGATGCAGGAGCGCCTACGCCAGTTGGTATAGCACATGGTGAAGATGATGAAGTTTATTTACATTTTTTTGAGTATGTATACTTGTTGTCTTTATCAAATCCTAGCATATTAGTCTGACCCATTCTTGCTCCGTCCTCCAATTCAGCAGTTGTCTCATTGTTATCCATACCTACCATACCCATTAGTAGTTTGTAGGCATATCACATTAATACACATACATTTATACACATACTTATGTAGAAATGATTGGTTCCATGCTGATTCACAGCTTCGTATCCTGGTCTACAACGGTGACATAGATATGGCTTGTAACTTTCTTGGAGATGAGTGGTTTGTGGATTCACTACATGTTCAGGTGAGTTAACTTTTGTCTTCTTGCTGGGGCCATTCCTGAGGGTACAGTTTCTTGAAAACAAAGCAGAGGCAGACCTCTGTGATGAGGATACAATACATTGACGGTACATTGGCCATGAAAGCACATAGGGCTGGGGAATTGGCTAGAGAAAGAGAGACTTCTAGAAGCAGCATGATGAGAGCGATGTTCTGTAAATGACCAGCTGACTGATGATGAATACCATTCATCAGCGGAACAGTCAGATTTATGTAGAGTCATAATCACATTGAGCTGGGAGTGCAGAGAGGGGCCAGCAGGTGGTAACTCAGCAGTTAATTCAAGACAACGCTCGCTCGGAGGATGTGGTTATTTATACAGACGGAAAGAAACGCTTTATTGCATCTGGCATACAGGCCAAACATTACTCATCGGGCCTTTACTCTCCAGGACATTTCTTGGTACCAATTTTAAGCTGGGTTGATATAGGAGCCCAGATCAAGCATAAAAATCTGCCCTCATGTTTATTTGAACTCAATATGCTTCAGCATATTCAAAGTACCTTTCACATGTTCATAGACAATTAAACACCCCCCTCTCCCCCTCCCAAATCCCCCAATTGCAACCTGAAAGATTAAAACCCAGTGACTCTAAGTGCCACATTTCAGATGAAAATCCAGTGGAAGCAAATCCCAGATACCTGTTCAGCTTTATGAAACAATGCCATGGGAACATTGTGGTTATGAAGTAATAATTTTAACTAGTAAAATATAAATTAACATCAAATAGCAGCTTAAAGAGTGGACAACCCTTTAGCAACATTTCACTGCAGAGAGGTTAATTACTTTTGTAGACATTACTGAAATAAAATGAAAAACAATTATTTATTGCTGATCTTATTCTACCTCGTCAGTTCCCCCCCCCTCCCCCTCCCCCACAGGAAAGATGGGAAAGTCAAAGAGAGCTTAGAACTAAGAATGAGTAAACCTGTTCAGAATCCTCTCTGTACTAGAATCTGATTTCCATAGCAGGCGGTTTAGCTAAAGACTGTTCTGCTGGTATGCGAGTCGTATAAGAGGTTGGGACCTAGCAACATATTTCCAAAGAGAGTGTTGGATGTCCGTAACACATAACCACTGGTACCTTGTTTTGTGCTGAGTATTACCACAATTGAGATCTGATGGTTTTTTTTTAGACTTTATTGACACACAAAGATGCAAACAGCAGGGAATGGACAATGAGAAGCAACAACGAAATTCATTATCTGTTTAAATCACCTTGGATCACTGGCATCATGAGAGCTAAAAGACTGAAATGGTTGGGGCGTATTAAAATGTCAGATGACAGAAGTTAAAAACTGTGCACACAAGGGAGATGAAATGTCATATACCACGAGGCAGACCAAGAAGAGGATGGAGGGATAATGTCCAGACAGACCTACCAGCACTTGGTGTCAATAACTGGAAAGAATAGGCTAGCCAGAGAGATGAATGGAGGCAGGTGGAGCAATGAACCTCAAGGGCTCAGAATGCTGAAGAAGAAGAAAAAAAAGATCTGATGGTTTGGCCGTTTGACAAAACTACATTGTTGGTACCAACTATCACAGGTGAAACAAATTGAGGGGCGGGGCCATGGGTTAAGCTGCATGTGTTAGTAAGCGATAGAAAGATGTGGTGTGAGTTGGTTGAGAGCTTTTGCTCCATTGGGAAATAAGGGGTAGAAAAAAAAAAGAAAATAAGGAAAGACCAACCAGGGCTGCTGAAATATTTTGGGTAACGGTACCAAATTTGTTCCAATAAGTATCAAAACACACCTTAAGGTAGACCATTTTAAATTGTTTTTTTTCAAATTAAAAAAAAAACACCATATTTAAGTGTCTTTAAAAAACACACACAGATATATATATATATATATATATATATATATATATATATATATATATATATAATATATATATATATATATATACTATATAATATATATATATATATATATATATATATATATATATATATGCAAGAATTTAAATACCTGGGAAGTATCTTTACATCCAATGGTAAAATAGACAGAGAGATTGAAGCAAGAATCCATCAAGCCAACAATGTCGCATACCAGCTTGCCCCAATTTTAAAACACACCCTGCTGTCCCAGCTGAGATAAAAAGACAAATTATAAATACAATCTTTATACCGACATTAGGTTATCAATGTCAGACTTGGACATTAACAAAAGAACATGAGAGAAGACTAACCACCTGTGAAATGAGATGTTTGAGAATGGCTGCGAATAAAACCAGAAGAGATCGAGTGAGAAACGATGTGATTACAAGAACTATTGGAACCATACCCATCGTTAAATTTATTGAGAAGCAAAGAATGAAATGGTTTGGTCACCTAATGAGAATGGAACCAACGATGCCAGCATCAAGAGCATACAACATGAAAATCGAAACAACAAGAGGCAGGGGAAGACCAAGAAGAAGATGGATTGAAGGAGTCACGGACAACTTGAGACTTCATAACATCACGGCATATGAAGCGACTGAGCGCGCCCTGGCTCGGTTGCCGATCATCTGATAGACTGCGACGCCTAGCGGCACAAGCAGATTTTGACAAAAGAAGAAGATATATATATATATATATATTTATAACTGGCCTACCTTACATGTGATAAAAACTGAAATTCTTTGCCCATTTGTTGAGTGTCATTTTTGTCATAATTACTATTTGAGCTAACATTCATATTTTTATGCTTGCTCCTGTTGGAAGCTTAAACAGCAATTATATACAGACAGAAACAATAATAAACCTATTAACAAAATATAACAAATTCAAAGGTGCACATAAGCAGTTTCGTCAAATGTTTTTTTTTTTTTTTTGCATTAGAATTTTCTTTCAGTACACTCCCTCTGAAACGTACCAAAACATCCAGTATACTACCAAAAATGGTTTTGCTTGGGAGGGGTCAAACAGGACCAAATTTGTACGAAAATACCAACTTTAGCAGCCCAGAACCAACTGCCAGAAAGAACCGTATTGAAGAGATATGAGGGTTGAGCAAGAGGAAGACCATGTATAGGATGGACAGACAGTGTCAAGAACAGCATGATAGAAATTAAAACCAGCCTCTACTGTGCTTTAGAAAGAGCATGAAGACATTTCCGCCAACACTTCTTTGAAGTAACTGGAGGAGAAGAAGAAAATCCAACATGCCATTGAGCTGCAGACTTAACCGCTAGATGCCCTTGTTAAACTGTTCACAGAATCCTCAAGAAAGGAAACCTTGGTTTTACAAGGCAGAAGATGGCACAAGACAGGTGGCAGGTTACGTCAAATCATTTGAGAGGGTTACATATGTTACTCTAAGGGTAAGTTATCAGTTACTTTGTGATGTGTCACACTTAGTGTGAGTTATTTACTGTGTAAATAGCTTGTCACCACACACAGGGTGTGTCATCATTTACTTTGTATGTTGCTTGTCACCATATGCGTACATACAGTGATTCATCATTTACTTTGTATGTGGCTTGTCACCACACACATACAGTGATTCATCATTTACTTTGTATGTGGCTTGTCACCACACACATACAGTGATTCATCATTTACTTTGTATGTGGCTTGTCACCACACACATACAGTGATTCATCATTTACTTTGTCTGTGGCTTATCATTGTATTACTTACACCTATGTTGTTACATTCTGGGTGAGTTACTTTGTTCATGGCTTTATCATTATTTACTTTCATGATGTTGTTACATTCTGGGTGAGTTACTTTGTTCATGGCTTTATCATTTTTTACATACAGTGATTCATTTCATTTACTTTGTCTGGGCTTGTTACTTTACAGGGTGATGGCTTTATTCATTATTTGGCTTTCATGACGTTGTTACATTCTGGGTGAGTTACTTTGTGCATAGCTTTATCATGATTTACTTCCATAACTGTCACATTCTGGGTGAGTATCATTTATTGTGTGTGTGGCTTGTCACCACACATACAGGATAAGCATCTCTTTGTTTGTAGTGGCTTTCATCACATGAGCCCATTGTCTCCTAGTGGATCACTTATCCTCACAGTGAGCTCACACCAAGTGCCCTTGTCTCCTTACTTTCTAGTGGAGCACTTATCCTCACAGCGAGCTCACACCAAGTTCCCATTGTCTCCTTCCTAGTGGAGCACTTATCCTCACAGCGAGCTCACACCAAGTGCCCATTGTCTCCTAGTGGAGCACTTATCCTCACAGCGAGCTCAACATTGGCTTTGTCTAGTGCCCATTGTCTCCTAGTGGAGCACTTATCCTCACAGCGAGCTCACACCAAGTGCCCATTGTTTCCTAGTGGAGCACTTATCCTCACAGCGAGCTCACACACAAGTGCCCATTGTCTCCACCTTCTAGTGGAGCACTTAGTCAGGACAAGCCTCACAGCGAGCTCACACAAAGTGCCCATTGTCTCCTTCCTAGTGGAGCACTTATCCTCACAGCGAGCTCACACCAAGTGCCCATTGTTTCCTAGTGGAGCACTTATCCTCACAGCGAGCTCACACCAAGTGCCCATTGTTTCCTAGTGGAGCACTTATCCTCACAGCAAGCTCACACCAAGTGCCCATTGTTTCCTAGTGGAGCACTTATCCTCACAGCGAGCTCACACTAAGTGCCCATTGTTTCCTAGTGGAGCACTTATCCTCACAGCGAGCTCACACCAAGTGCCCATTGTCTCCTAGTGGAGCACTTATCCTCACAGCGAGCTCACACCAAGTGCCCATTGTCTCCTAGTGGAGCACTTATCCTCACAGCGAGCTCACACCAAGTGCCCATTGTTTCCTAGTGGAGCACTTATCCTCACAGCAAGCTCACACCAAGTGCCCATTGTTTCCTAGTGGAGCACTTATCCTCACAGCGAGCTCACACCAAGCCCTTTGACAGACTTCATGATTAGTTAAAGCCACGAGGACAAGTATCACACATCTCATTTCATTCTGCTCACTTATTTGTATTTTTCTTAATATTATTGTGCTCTGTCGTATGGCAGTTTTGTCGCGCACCTTTACTTACGGAATATTTTCACAAATCCCTCAGGTGCTCTGAGACAGGAGTGTTTTGAATGGTGGCTCTCGTTCGTCTAGAGGCCTAACCCTTGGTTCAAACTTTCCATTCAACCTGTCTCAGGGATGAGGTGACTGGAGCTCTGACTCCACAGGGTTATTATGAACACTTGGGTACCTCTCGGCCAGACGTCCTCATCACTATTTTGCCCCCAAACTGGTAAATAACGTAACACAGTCAAACAAGTAAACAACATATTCATCTTGACATTGACAAGACATGAATACCTTCTGACGATGACAATGAATTCCAATAAGACGAAAACTTTTTTAAGAACAAGAAGACTGATGAACTAAAACTTCAATGTAATAAATTCACTATAACAAGGCAGACGAAAAGTAGCACGAAGAATCAAATGAATGTTCAAATCTTTGAAGATCTGACACTAGAGAAAGAGTCTTTCTACATAGACACATCCATTTCCAGGATCATCATGGTCAGGAGGTATGAGACAGATTTTGAAGGCACATCCTGGAGTCAAGCCGCTACAAAGTGTTACTCGGACTTATCTGGTAGGATCCTGCAGCTCCTCAGGATGCCCGAAGATGGAAATCTGCCAAGTCTCACTTCTCAGAAGAACTCCGTACACTTGATGATCTCTCTGAGAAAGATCAAGGACAATCACTCCCCAGAGACTGGTAGATATATGGTTCACGGACAGTACAGCAAACTGGGTAATGGCTGTACAACTCAAATCAGCTGTATCCCCGGTGTTGGTTGGTGGAAGATCACGTCAATGCCACGGACGTTGCTGGATCTTCAGAAATCCCATGATAAATGGAAAGAGAATAAAGAATCTTGTCTTTTTAACGGTCAAGTGGCAACAACAAGGGAATATGTCTGCCCCATTGACCGGACCATAGAGAAGTGACACATAAAAATACAGTCCCCAACTACAGCAGTTGGTGTAAGAATCCTGCTCACGTATGCGGTGCAGCGGTCAGACAATTTATTTTAAATAGGCGTAGAAAATGTGTCCTAACGTGTAAATCGACGCTAAAAGCCTAAAAGAATCAATCTAAAAGTGCATTATAGGGATTTTTCTTATCTAGACCCCCCCCCCCCCCCACAACAAACGAACTATATAACTATGGTCGGCCTATCCTATATCATAGTTACAATGACGATTTTGGGGGTGTTCAGACTGTGGACCTGTCCAATGCGGTAGATGTGTGTATCCTGTTATACGACAGCTCCATTGTAGTTACTTTATTATCTTGTCCATGATCATTTTGTGTTGTTTATTTTTTGCTTTTGTTTACTGATAAAAGGGTGTCCTGTTTTTGTAATTATTTTTAACTTTTGATTAGCACTGGGATTTTTTCTGCATCACTGTTTTCCAATGTGAGGCCAAAGTCTCAGGGGAAATGGGAGGGGGGGGTGTTGATTGTCAAGGGGGGCAGTTCAATAATAGACTTATCCAGAGGTGAAGTTACATGGGGAGGGGGAAGGACGTGTGAATTTTAGAAAGGCTTAGGTGGGGCGTGGCACAAAAAAGGTTGGCAAACACTGGTTTACATTATCGACAAGTGCCTTGCCGACTAGCATGAGCAGTCATGCCTCTCCACAATCTATGATTTTCAACAGCAGGTGTCACTTGGAGTGCTGACACCCATTCATGGCATGACACGAAGGCTGTCAAGAATCTTCTTGCATTATCTTCCTCAATCTTTTCCCACAGATCTTTCCAGTGGTCACAACCAATTTCCTTCTCAAAATATGACCAGGAAATAATGTCTCTGATGTTTTTCTACAGCACACAATAATTCCTAGGCTGGTCTCTTTTTGTCAGATCTCAGCAGTAGAAGCTTGCTGCTGCACTGGTGACTGTCATATGTGATCAGTGGGTTATGTGAGGAGGCATGATAGTATACTCACCTGCAGGCTAGGTGGGCCTGTATGTGAAAACAACCCACTGTCATAAAATGGGTAATAGGACATTTTCATAAAAGTTAATTAAGAGACTGGAATAATACTGACCATATCATCCATTAATTATTGCGTATGGTTCAGTGTTTGATTACTTATATAGTAGTTCTTATTATCTTCTACTTAATGTTTATTTTCTGATGTTGTACCTAATAGCCGTAAAATGCCTTGTCGATTGGTCTGGGCAGTCAATCAGTCAAACTTCTGCTCATCTTGCCATCTCCAACAGCATATACTATTTTTCAGTGGAACCTTTCTGTGCCTTAGCAGAAGAATATTCTTTATTGTCTTTCTCTTACTCATGAAGAGATCTAATTGCCCACATCAGAATTAGACAGTTTACATTCTTGAGTCATAAGAATGGAAAACAAACTTGAGTACATCAAGGTGGTGGGAAGGTTGGAGAGGAGAACAAGACAGAGGGAGACTGAGAGAAAAGATACTGGACAGTTTGACATCATGGGACAGAAGATCATCTTTGTCAGGACTGATTGAAATTGCATGAGACAGAAGGCTTGAGGGCTGAGTGCTTATGTCAATGTCCCTAGTGCTGTGATATCAGTTCTCAACTCAGCTCAGCACTAATCAGTATTTGATGGATAATATGGATGATATAGACATCACTACCAGCGCCACATGGCATGGCATGGACTATAAGAAAAAATTATCTCTTGCTATAAATCTGTCCCAATGTCATATGTTCCAGTTAACTTTTTGTCTTCTGTAATGTGATTTTTTTTAAATTGTGAAGTTCTCTTTCAATTTATAGTAAGTTAAATTAACATCTTTAAAACTATTTAAATTACTATTTTGGCTATCCAAAGAAATTCCAGCATTTCTCTGGCTACAAAGAAAGTATTTTACTTGTTCTCTAATTGTTCAGGATTCACAAGGTGTCTCAGCAAAATGTATTTACTGAATATTTTGTTTTAAAGCATGCTGATCCACGATTTATAATTAAAATGAGAGAAGAATATGTGCAACATCCTTTCAGACGTGAATTTAACAGAAATCCACAGTTATGCTGTAAAGGCCTCTCTTGATTTAAAAGAAAAAGGTGAAACTGATGAATTGAGTGAAGAGTTAACTCATGCAAGTTGATTTGTTGTAGTTGATACCTGAAAACATAGTGTTTATACCTTAAGAATGGCAGCAATCAAAGAAGTGAAAAGAGTATTTTGATAACCTTTTAAATTTAAATATGTATTAATAACAAATATCCAAGGTGCATACATTTTAGATGCTCTATCTTACAACTGGTTTTGGATGTAACATGCAAGCATTGGTTTTCTAACACTCAGTAACAAGGATTTAAGGATGTTCTGCTTTTATAATGATTTT